CAACCGAGCTACGCGGTCAGGACGGTTCGAGTAAGTGATATTTCGGAACAGAATCTAGTTCCTTCGATACCAATGTTTTCTAGTAATATGATTTTTTTTTTCTGTGTTGGTGTAGTGTACTCAGGTGAATATGATATTTGTGGTGTCACTCTGAGTGTATATCCACACCGGGCGAGCTTGAAAAATATGCCCGGCCACGGTGGGATTCGAACCTACGACCTTTGGAATACCAGCCCAATGCTCTTCCAACTGAGCTACGCGGTCAGGACGGTTCGAGTAAGTGATATTTCGGAACAGAATCTAGTTCCTTCGAAACCAATGTATTCTAGTAATATGATTTATTTATTGCCATCATATTGCTCATCAATAGTGTACTCCTCTTTGTTTGTTTTTATCCATGTTCGCATTTCTTAGATTTGTGGTTCTGAATAATTGGCTCTGTCAAGATGCCAGTCATATGTGGACTCTGGTGTTTGTTCAGAGTTGTCAAAAGGAGTGTTTAGGTCTGATAATATCATCCACTCTTCTCGAGTTGTCTCGTGTTCTTCAGAAGGTTCATCTTCTGGTTCTTGACTTTAAATGACAGCTTGTAATTTATCAAACCAGTCTGGGACATTAGACTGTCCATAAGGTGTTGGAAAGAATTCATGCCAGCAATTGATCAGAACCTCGTCAGTTGGTTCTTGGTCACCCCATGCATTATTTTGGGTTGTTCTCCAGGGTTTAAACCTCAAAAGTTGATATTTACAATATAGGCCAAAATTTGGACCTTTGGGATTAGGAGAATATGTTGGAAATATTCGTGGTATAATATTCTCTGGCAATTTTGTCAGTTCGTTGTTATCAACTTTGTATGTTGTAGCAAATTGAACAAAGTTCATATTTATTATATTTTGTGAACTCTCATATTGTTCACGGTTAGCATACACATCAAGAAGTGAATAATCAGTGCATGATTCACCCTCATCAATACTTGCAGCATCATGCACTCTGCATGAGCCATTTAGACTAACTGGCATCACTTTAAATGATGAGCTGTGGAGTTTTAAAGCATAATATCTTGCCCCAAGAGATTTCATAACTATCTTCTTAATAACTCTACGAGGGTCAGTATTACTGTCAACATTTTGCACAATAGAATTAAATGCCTAGCTGTTTCAATATAGGTGATCTTGGCTCACCTTTAGCTGCATATTTTGTGAGATATTCAACACAGGCATAGTGATCAATAACAACTTGACTATCACAGTTAGCTCTCCATCCTTGGAGCTGAAGTTGTTGATGGTTATTTAACCTAGAGTCATTTCGTTTAGCCACAATCTTAGCTCGATAATGCTCATTATCACCTGAAGTATGATTTCAAATTCCAATTTTGTCTTAGGACAAATATCAAAAGGGAAGTGAAATCTATATTTCAACTCTGTTTCATTTGACTTCTTTCTAAGACAATAACTTGTACTACAACGAGTGTGTCGTTGAACCATGTTTAATAGATCTACATAATCTGATTGTTTTTCATGTTCAGGAATGTCATGATGGCTTCTTTGATATGGATGAACCTCAGGTCTTATCCACATGTCCTTATCTGGTGGATTAGGATTGACAGTTGATCAGATAATAACCAATCAACATACTGACATACTGTGTCAGCCGGTTTCTGACCAGCTTCAATACCCTGTTCTAGTTCAGTTGTGTCAGAACAATCATTTTCATCTTTAAATTTTTGAGCTAAGAAACCTTTCAAAGCAGTTTGAGTAAGTTGACACAAACCTGGGTCATTATTTAGTTTAGCAGTACCATGACAATGGATACTACCTCTACTTTGATATTCGTATCGAAACCAGTGCTATTTTGCATCAAGTGTATCATAAAGCCAGTGTTTTACAAAGCTTTCTAATCTTTGGGTGATTTACAACATGGGGATTGTTGATCACATTTTGTCGTCGTACACTGGTAGAGTCACCTAACTCATTGTCAGTATCAGCTTTAAATAAAGCATGTAACTCAGGCCAATGCATATCTGCAGAGGAGAAAGTGAAAAATAATGTTGGTGCTCCAACACTAGTTATGATAGCTTTGAGTTCCTCTCCTATTCTATTCCAATAAGCATTAGTACCTGCAATATTGCCAACATATCTCGACACTTTAGACATAAATACATTAGCATTGTTACTGGCAGCCATTTCACGCAGTTCGTTAATTGTGAGATGAGCTTTACCTGGGTTCTGTTTGAGGAATATTCCACTTTGTTGTAAAATTCGTTTTCTTTGAATCATATTAAATGCCCAATAAAAAAATCTGGGGGTGGTTGGCAAAACGGTATACCCATTTACCATCAAAATTTCAGCAAATTTTAGAAGATGTTTTATTCGTTCCTGAAGAGGGACATCTCTCAGAAGTCCTTGATTAGTAGGATCACCTTTCCCATCCGGAAACAATGTTGGGAAAGCCATTGTGGCCAGATGTGATACCTGATACTCATTTAATGGCTCATTTTCAACTGACAGCCATGGCATTGGCTCATTTTCAGACAGCTGATCTCTAACAGCTTCAATTTCCTGTTGTTGTTGTTCACCAACAGGTAAAAAACTGCTCATTTCAGTAGAGTCATTATAAACAATATCTTCTGATGGATTATCAGTAGGAGGGCCTACATCAGGAGAACAATTGTCATCTGAGACAATATCATCATCAGTATCAACAGTCATAAGACCTGGTGGTACACCATTTTCTGGTAAGGAATTTAATGCATCTTCATTAATTATTAACTCAGAATAATGTGGATTATTATTGATAAGCCACACTAAAGCATCATGCACTTTTCGCTTTTGCACGGTCACATCTCTGAATGTGTTTTCTCTACCTTTAGCCTTGACAATAATCACAGCTAAGTCTTTAGGATATCTTGGCAAAGACATTGCAAGTTCTTTGACATTTTGTGGCAGGTTAATACAATGCCCCTAATAACCTCGTTGACCACCAGGTTTAATATAAACTCTCATGATAGGCAAAGCATGAGCAATTAACATTTCCTCAATCTAAGTTAAATTCAGCAATTCATGTGGAACACATGAAGGTATCATTGAATTTTCACAAGAAAACTTTTTAGGAGATTTTTTATCTCTGGAACATCGAGAACATAAGTAAGATGTCCTTGGTTTATATTTCAAGGGCCATGCCTCCTGACATTCTGTACACTGACTGACAATGAATTGCACAGACTTATTAAACTTATTAATGTTAGCCTTAGCCCAACATTGCTCTTCAATACCACCATTATTGGTGTTGTCAAACATATTTAAATAATCCTGTTGATTTATTTCACGTTGAGGTTGTGACACACTTTTCTTGCCCGCTTTTTTTTTTAATAAAGTCTATCTTTTTCAAGTCTTATTTGTCTCTCACTGTCAGTTTCTTTAGACCGCTTTCGGTTTACAGACTAACTTACTTTTTCAAGTCTGATTTATCTCTCACTCTCAGGTTCTTTTTATACTCACTAGCTTTTCTAAGTCTAGCTTTTTTATCACCTTCGGATTCTACTAAAAGCCTCTTTTTATGGTATTCATGATCTTTCACACACTTACTTTTTTGCTCTGAAGCATTACATTTATTTAATTGCACAGGTGCAATTTCAAATGAATTGGCATGTAATTTCATTGAAAGGCAATACAAATATTATTCTAACTCTAGAATATCAGTAAATTTCATGACAACAGCAGTACCGTTTAGATCAGGCATGTCCTGAAATCTCTGGCATGTGAGTCAAATAAATAGAGAACATCAGCTTGCTTTATTAAGGCCATCATATAGCCTTCTAATATCAAGATAGCATAACTGTTATTCAAAAATGCATTCAAAAGTGTTGTGTGAATGTCATAATAATAAGATTCAATCTCTCGGTCAGTTATAACAAGACCTTGAAGCTCTTTTCCATAACTGATAACCCAAATTTGATTTTCATTGTTTGTCTCATTAGTCACCACAGAGTTGTGCTCCGCGTCAACTGCCTCAGGCACAATTAGCAGATCAATGTTACTTTTCACCACAATGGGCAGATCAAAGTTATTTTGTGCCTCAATGGGCTCTACCACAAAGGGCAGATTGCTTTTCTTTTGTGCCTCAATGGGCTCTACCACAATGGGCAGATGAATATTTCGTGCCTCAATGGGCTCTACCACAATGGGCAGATCAATGTTATTTTGTGCCTCAATGGGCTCTACCACAATGGGCAGATTGCTTTTCTTATGTGCCTCAATGGGCTCTACCACAATGTGCAGATTGTTTTTGTTTTGTGCTTCAACGGGCTCTACCACAATGGGCAGATCAATGTTATTTTGTGCCTCAATGGGCTCTACCACAATGGGCAGATCAATGTTATTTCGTGCCTCAATGGGCTCTACCACAATGGGCAGATTGCTTTTCTTATGTGCCTCAATTGGCTCTACCACAATGTGCAGATTGTTTTTGTTTTGTGCCTCAATGGGCTCTACCACAATGGGCAGATCAATGTTATTTTGTGCCTCAATGGGCTCTGCCACAATGGGCAGATCAATGTTATTTTGTGCCTTAATGGGCTCTACCACAATGGGCAGACTGCTTTTCTTTTGTGCCTCAATGGGCTCTACCACAATGGGTAGATCAATGTTACTTTCCACCACAATGGACAGAGTAATGTTTTGTGCACTACTTGTTTGTGACATCAGATCAATCTCATACGAAAATATGTTCCTACAACGTGAAACACCGACAACTTTTGGTAAGTTATCTACAGACAAGAACTCAATACTTGGTTCTAAGACAATTAAGCCACTATTAAGAGCTCTTAAGTACATTTTGTCTCCTTGTAATAAGACATTATTAAATGTTGTTTTTGACCAGTTGATGAGTGGCATATTTTCGGCTGTTAAAATTGCCGATAAATTCATGAAAGCACACTGTTTGCCTCTAGATTGGGCACTAAACAGGTCATAGCCTTGATGTATATTAGCAGAAAGAAATAAAGCCATACTTACCTGCTTTTTCTGAATATTTTCAATCTTTGCATCCGAGTTTGCATCCATATAAAAAACCTTGACTCCTCGAGCACATGGAAGAAAACATGCGTGCGCAATAGAAAAACTTTCTCGACCTCCCCCCTCAAAATAATTAATTATAAGGTACCTGATGCTTAATTATTTCCACGGAAATTCGAAATCCTGACAAACAGACACAAGATCGAGATCTCGACAATACATAGGTCGCGCGAAAGACTGGGTCGAGTGGACTCTGGGGAAACCATATTCTCGTACCCAGAGCCCTTCTTACACGCGGTGCGACGAGGGGCTCTGGCCAAATCCATAACCGGATACCATAAAAACATAGTAAGAAAACAATATCCGGTGTTAAAACTAGCCAATCGGGTGCCAGTTCGGAATATGGAATTGGCCAGAGCCCATCGTCGCACCGCGCGTAAGAATGGCTCTGGGTACGACATTTGGGAAACCATAGTAGTCAAGAATATGGTGCTGCCTCGCTGCGCTCGGCAGCAATTATTCAAGGTTAATTAAGATTAGTATGTTACATGCACAACTCATATAGTCACACGCGTGTATAAACTGTTAAATAAATATTCTGAATGACAATCACGTGATCACCGCGTCCTCGGGCCACATGCAAAGACCAATAGCGTTGGAGATGTGATTTTCTATTTCATGTAACTGTATCTGAGGCGTGCGAAGTGTAAACAGTCCGTGATAATCTACTCTTTATGGGGAAATAAAGCTATGCTCCCAGTTGGGCGACCAAGACGGCAAGGTTTCACATCACCCGTGTTCCTATAAACATTCTTTGGACAAAGATAATGCAATTTGTTCATAGCTCTTTTCATAAAAAAGTCTTTGGTATACCATTCCCCATTTTACAAAATTCGCCACACGCACTGTTAAACCCCACACGAGTTGACGCATATAATAATAGTCACGTGTTCGATATTTATATACCTACATATATTTGTTCTGGACAACCTTATTCGCAATGACTATATATATATATATATATATATATATATATATATA